ATATTAGCCATCCTGACCCCAGTCCTCCAGCAGCCTTGGGCCCCGGGGACCTCCGGGCGGAGCACTCCAGCCTCCTTTCCTGAGCAGCAGTCAGCTAGTCTGGGGCCCCATCAGAACCAGAGGTTGGGGGTGGGTGGGGGGTGTCCGATGTGGCTCCCGTTCCGAAGCCTCCGGAAGGTGGCGCCTCTTGCTTTCACAGCCTGCAGCAGGGGCCTGCCTGACCATATCCCTGCCCCGCAGAATCCTGGGAGCAGGGCCAGGGTGGTGGTGTCCCACCCAGCCTGTGGCCCATCCTACTTCTGGCCCTGCCTCATACTCCCCTGTACACTGTTGGTGACAGGGCACCCCAGGCATTGGGCGTGAGGGTCACCAAGGCCCTGCGCTCGAGAGGGCTCACACCTGCGGGCATCCTTCTGGAAGCTCCCTCCTCATCCCAGTGCCCAGGGCTGGGGGCCCTTGAGGGGCTGGTGGAAGTCTTGGAATTGGGCAGTTTTTGAGCCCAGCAATTTCAGGTGGTTCCACCTAGTACAGGGTTCTCTCCGTCCTAGCTGATGGGGGTGGGGGAGCACCCATCCCTTGCCCTGGCCCCTCACTGAGGGCATGGGCAGCCCTCGCAGGCTCGTCAGATGGCTGAAGGGCTGGGTCGCATCAGACATTTTGCTCTTGGGGCCTCAGAGTTCCCATCGGTGACAGGGTCCCTTCCGGCTGGTCCTTTCCCCAGAGTGGGTGGAGGCGGGCCAGCATGGGGGTCTTGGGCCTCTACCTGCCAGGAGTGGCAGGGCCTTGGGAGGCAGCCCCAAACTCACTGATGCTCACTCTGCCTGGGTCTGCGTGTCCCGCCCCCGCCCAGGGGGCTTGGTGTTAGAATTCAGTTCGCAGGAGCTGGCCTGGAGAAGCACACGGCCTCCCACCGCCTTGGCAGGGCCACTGCCCCCACATGCCTCTACAGGGAGTCCTGCCTCCGTGGGGATGTCCTCAGTACAGGTGTGGAAGTGGGGTAACTTCCTCCCTTTCCGGGTTCCAGGCGGGGGACGATCCTGCTCGTCATGAGCCGGTTCTGCACAGGGATGACTTGGAGTCCCTCCTGAGTGAGGTAACGCAGCGCCTGGCCGGGCTACACCTGCCCTCCCCGCTCCTTAGGGGGCCCCACTGACCGTGGGGTCCTGTCCTGTGCGGTAGGCTGTGGGCGTGCAGGTTGCAGACAATGCAGGTGTCTTTAGAGACCCCAGGGCACAGGAGGGCCGAGGGTGACCGAGGTGTCAATATAGGTGGACAAAGGGGGCACCCCCGTTCTGTTGTAATATTGGGCATCCCTGTGGCTCCCGCATCCTGTTGGAGTGTCAGGCCCTGCACAGGGCTGGGCAGAGGGAGCGAAGGAGCTGGCCCTGCCAAGCCACCGGGAAAGAAGCCACCAAGGAGGCAGCACAGCGGTGGTGGCAGTGCCCTGGGCCCTGGGATGCTCGAAGGAGCACTGATGAGGAGTGCCCCCTGACCACCACATCCTATGGGGCCTCGGGCCTCGGTTTCCCCAACTCTGAATAGGAGGCTTGGGTTGGAGGGCACCTTCACATCTCGATGTTTATACTCAGGTGGCCCTGGAGGCCAGGGTGGGCCGGATGTGGACCCCTCCCCTAGAGAGGCCCTGCTCTCTCCTCTGTCCCGCAGCACTCCTTTGACGGCATCCTGCAGTGGGCCATCCAGAGCATGGCCCGCCCGCTGGCCGAGGCACCCACCTTCCCCTCCTGATCAGGGACTCCCAGCCTGCAGGCAGCATGGGAGGGGGAGGCGAAGCCCCAGAGCAGACCTCACCCTCACGGAGGCAGCGACTCTGCTCTGAAAGGGACAGAAGGGGACGTGCTCCCTCACCTCTGGCAGCTGCCGGGTTAGGACTAGGAACTGAGTTCAAGTGCTGTTAACTCTCAGCTTGTCAACAGCCCTGTCTTGGCAGCACAAAGCCACCGTGTGCACTGAAATTAAAGTCACTTCTGTGTGCTCTCCAGTGGGGTGTGTTTGTTCTGGGGGGTGGGTGCCCCTGTGTTTCTGGTCCCTGTCGTGTAGGCTGAGCTAGCCGTAACGGGAAGAGAATGCCAAGCAGGAACCCCTGTGCCCCAGCCTCTGCCCCAGCACAGCCCCGGCTCCATGTGGTCCGGCCCCGCCCTCCTCTGCCACCCACCACGTGCTCCCACCTCCTCTGTTACTCAAAGGGCCAAGCCCATCCACACCTCTGGGCCTTTGCACAGGCTGTTCCCTCTGCTCAGAGTTCCCTACACCCTGTGCTTCGCACATCTATTTTCTCATCCGTGAGATCTCAGTTCCAGTGCCACCTGCTCAGTCATTTATTCAAGAAACCTTTACTGTGGCTCTTCTAAGTGCTGAGCCTTGGGGTCCCAGAAGGACATTCCAGTGACAGATCACTCACCAAAGGAGGGTGTCCACAGACAAAAACAGGAAACAGGATGGGGTCAGGTGACGGGGGCACGGGGGCTGGCCGTGGACGGCCCTGTGCTTATCCTTCTCTGCCCGCCACGGGAGACAGCCCATCAGAACTGAGTTCTTTCCTCACAGTGTCTGTCCCCCTGAGAACGGCCACCAGGGGGCCTGGCGCCCTGTCCAGTCCTTGGCTGAGCTCCCAGGGCCTGGTCCAGCTGCTGGGTCAGTGTTGGTGGAGAGATGGCTGGGCTGTCGTAGCCCCCCACCTGCAGGGACCCCATGGTAGAACGCCCTGCCGGGTGGGGTCGGAGCCCTGGGGAGGGTGGGGAGTGGCCACTGGCCCCGCTGTGTGGGGGCCCCAGCTCGGGACTCAGAGCCCTCAGGTTCCCAGGCTTTACTGGCTCGTTCAGCCCCTCTGGAGACCCTCTGTGCTCAGCACATGTGAGGCAGCCCCTTGGGAGGGGCTGACCAACGCCCTCCGGTGGGGCGTAAGTGCCTCAGGCCACCAGGTCTAGCGTTTGTTCAGACAGGGACCCACTGATGAGGACATGCCTGTCACATGAGCGAGCAGGCAGCTCTCCCATGCCCGGCTGGGCCAGGCGGGCAGCAGGGGGACAGATGGCAGTGGACAGCAGTGCCAGGAGGGACGCAGCAAGCATGGATGCGTGCAGAGCGGCCCAGCTTGGAGGCTGGATCATGTTTGTGGATAAGGAAGGATCCAAAGGTGGGGAGACCAGAGACAAGGATTGGGAAGGAGCACCCCAAGCTGGGGCCGCTGGGGCGGGGTGGGGGGTGATGGAGCAGGAGTCAGGGGACGGATGCCCGCTGACTCACAGCGGGGAGCCGTCTCTTCCCCACGGATCCTGGCTGCTGTCTCAGCCCCGCCCCCCCCATAGGATGACGCAGGACTGGATGAAATTTGCAGAAGCCGGTGGGGGAAACGTGGTGGAGGGTGACCTAAGGGGTGACATAGTGGCGGTGACATGGTGGGGACCATGGCAGTGGTGGGAGATTTGTTGGGGAGCTGGCCCAGGTGAACTCAGATGTCACAGACACCCTGCCCATCGTTGTCCAGGGCCTGCTCTCAGCCACTGCAGCCTTGGCACCACTGGGTCTCGCCTTGGGTTCCCGGGGATCTGGAGACCCCCGCCTCATCAGAACCCCTCTACAGACAGAGGCCCTCCCACAGAGGCCCTCCCCTGGGGCTCAGTGCTCCCACTGGTGGCCCAGTGGCTTCCAGTGCACCCCGTGTCACTCCTCACATTCAGGAAACGTCACTCAGGAGCAGTCCTGAGTCCCGTCCGTGGTCTGTGGTGTGCGTGGAGGGATGGAGGAGGCTGGGGAGGGGCCGTGTGCCTGCATCCTGGGTCCTTCACTACCTGCCGCAGCCTGAGCTTGTCGGCACTGAGTTCATCCTGTGCTCTAAGCACAGTGGGTGATGGACCTGCTGTCCTGCAGCCCCTGGGCTTCTCTTTGCTTCTCGGGAGCTGACCGTCCATCAGCTGCTCCTGTCCGTCTTTCTGTGGGGTTAGAAGTTGGTCTTGCTGGTCCAGCACCAGATCAACGTCTGGCTACGTAACACCCTGAAGCATTTGTTCGCCTAGCAAGGGCATCAGCCAAGGGTTACATTTGTACATCCCGTCTGCAAAGCACGCAGAACCCACCGGATTCGTTTCCTGGGCGCTGTGACAAAGCGCCACAGATCAGGCGGCTCAAAGGACAGACACATCTTCTCCTAGTCCTGGAGGCTGAAGCCCGAGGCCCAGGTGCCGCAGGGCTGTTTCTTTGGAGGCCTCTCTCCTGGGTGTGCAGATGGCCGTCTTCTCCTGTGTCCCCACATGGTCGTCCCTCTGTGCATGTCTGTGTCCTAATCTCTTCTCATAGGGGCACCAGTGCTCACCCTAAAAACCCCACTTACCTTAATCACCTCTGTGAGACCTTCTCCAGCTAGAGCTTCAAGTGTGAATCTTGCGGGGGTGGAGACACCGACTCTCTCCTTGACCACACTCAAGTCAGCCTCCTCTGAGTCTGCCTGACCTTGGCCTCTGCCCTTGGTTTTTAGTCAGTTTTAGCCAAAATCCTGCCAAGTCAGTTTAGGGGAAGCCCCCGGCCTTGGAACCCACCCACTCTCCGTAGCTGATCAGTTTCTCACCTCCACCTGGCTAGCCGGGCCCCCGGCCCGCCCTCCAGAGGAGTCCCAGGATCCCCTAGCCTCGCTGTTTGCATTTAGTAGTTTCCGTCCACCGGCTCCCTCTTGCTCTTTGGCCATAAATCCCTGCTTTCGCTGTTGTGGTCAGAATTGAGCCGGACTCCTTGCCCCCACTGCAAACCTCATCGCCGTGGTCCCCCTTGAATAAAGTTCCTTACCATGGCAGCAAGTGTTGTGAATACCTTGTTCCTGAGCAGGAACAGGATTTGGCCAACCAATAACACCAACCTCACGCTTTTCATCCACTGGAGGCTGGCAAAGGCCTCACTGACCCGCACGGACTCTACCATGTATCACTGCAACATACACCTGTCTTGTCACCCCCTGGGCTCGTGTTTATCCTTCTTATTGTCCGGAGAATAGCCCAGTCTGTGGGATTAGCTCCCAAAATGTTCCTGAGGCACTGCGCGTGCAGTTCACTTTCAGAGCTGTACCCACTAATGCTCCAGCTCCAACCGGCCTGGGTCACCCCTGAA